CAATTTCAAAACGACAGTTGGTAGATAACTAGTTCACTCAGTTTTCGTTGTATCTGGAGTAATTATCAACAACAGCTGTCTGCCCAGTGGACAGTGATGTCCAGGGAAGACTTTAGAGGGATATTTCCCATCCAACCTCTGCACACTGGCTCACCATCACGTGTTGGACGCGTCCTCTGGGGCATCCTATCAACCCTGAGACCGGGAACACTGACGTATATCTCAACACTCTGTGCTTCCCTTATCGCACAGGAAGTTGACCGTTGGTCCAGTACATGAATTTCATTGCTTTTAGAAAACAACAAACAACTTCTGATATCCTATAACTATGCCCAAGTGGAACATGGTGGACACACTGTTACTGTCATATCAAAACTTTGTACATATGTTTTTTTAATGTTTTATTATTATTATTATTTTATTTTTATTTATTTTGTACCATTTTTACCATCTGTAAATGCCACCTGCTCTTTACAGTGAACATTACATAACTAATGTGAAATTATTTAAAATGACTTTCAATAACGTTTTGGTACGTCAACATATATTAAACATAAATGTTTTTTCCTGTTTAACACGTCCTACTACTTTGTTGACCTGCCAGTGAATTCATTAAAGTAACTACTGTTATGTCAATATTAGTGCTATTAATTCAAAATGGCTTCCTCCAAACACATTATCCTAATAACCATCCACGATTTGGCTGAACTGATCGCTCGGCGTCGAAACTGCTGACCCACGTCGAGCTCATTTCCATTAAACCTATAGCTGTGTAGTTTTCACACCTGTTAAAGCAATTCAGGCACAGGAAAACATTATCCCTAGACTGCTCAGCTCCGCTTCCTTGAATACATTTGTAAAGTCTCCATCAGTCATGTTCAGTGAAACCCACAGAGGCACCAAAATAAACCGGCGTCTTTTTTCCAACGCTGCTGGAAGTTCGCCGCACCCTACACCACAAAATACTCCCATCAGAATCGTATTTTGCAGTCGTCTGGGAATTCAAAATAGTTGGTCAGAGTGTTGGGCAAGCGACTGGATGTGAAGACCAGCCATCAAGACTGAAGGTATTATGTAGTGTTATTATTAATAAAATATGATTCCCTTTTTCACAGCAGCCATAAATATGCAATTTCTGCCTGTTTTGAAGGTCCCTCAGTGGAACTATACATTACTTTTCTTCAGTAACATTGATGGAATATATTTTCATGGAAAATGTATTCCATATATATAGTATGATTTTGATTGTGCATGTGTTTGTGCTGTTTTATCTCAGCATGGCTGTCTTTGTGAACTGTGTTCATTGCAGGGCATTTTCACCCCTCATTGCTCACTAGCAGCTCAACACAGCGTTACAGCAGTTCACACACCAGAAGCTCTATCATCAGGAGATCATGAGTTTGATCCCTGGCCATGCCTCAGCCGTCCATGGTCCGGAGTCGGGAGCATTCCTGGTCTCCCTCTCTCTGGCCATTGGTTAGCTATTGTAACAGAATTAGTAGTCAGTGTTTTCCATTCATGCACGGTGAACTATTAGCTTGCTTCACATGTCTCAAGGAACCCTTGCTAGCCTTCACCCTCAAAGCTTGGCGAAGGCTTCATCTTGAGGCAGATTATAACATGACGGAGGGACAGGGTTAGTCTCTAGGCGGTAGTTTGGATATCAGTGGCTGAGACTCAAAGCCTCGGCTTTCAAAAACAGTATAATTAAAATGCGTTCCAGCACAATGTAATCACTCATTTCATCACAATAAGACAGTCGTAGTTTAGAGTAATCCAAACAGTAACATTCCTTCACTGTGTTGTGATTTATGTTTGATGAAGTATTTGAGGATGTGTGGAATGTGTGTTCAGGAAATCAGAGCTAAAAGTACAACTAAAGATGAGAAGCAGTCTAATCTGGCAGAGTTTATTATATACTCAGCTGGTGCTGATGTGTATGAATAAGCCAGCTAACACGAAGGGTTGGTTTCCCAGACAGAGATTAAGCCTAGTCCTGGACTACACAGCATTCTGAATGTGGACTCTCCATTGAAAGGAAGATGTAGTCCAGGACGAGGCTTAATCCCTGTCCGGGAGACCAACCCCTAGAGTTCGACCTTGAACGGCTCAGTTTAACCTCCAAAGCAATGTGGAAATCAGGTTTAATGAGTTGCACGTTTTTTGGACCAAAGGTCATTAAAAATGAGCCGCCAAATAAGAATGAAGCTTCCAAAACAAATATCTGGAATAGACAAAATAAGAGCATAGATATGGGAGGGAAACCTTGAGGGGTCGGGGGTGGGGTGGGGTGGGGGAGCGTTGCTGTAATCATTTCCCACACTATGATCCTAAGGGGCAAACCGTCCCAGATGATGGTACTGCTGTCCAGAGAGATAAACGAAAAATAAACACACAGAGCTGCTGCTTTAGCTATAGATCAACCCACTTTCAGAGCACTTCAATCAGACTCTCAGCTCACAATCATCTCTCATACAGGCTTTTAGAACAGCTCGATCTGTTTATTGGCTTGAACGTTCAAACAATGACGCATAATAATAATAATAATAATAATAATAATTCATCGTGATCAGTTATAACTGCAGCTCGGTTTTCTCCCACTGTTCTTTTAAAAGGTAAAGAGCGCCCCCTCGTTTCTGTTCAGTGTCAGCTGTGTCAACATCCTTTGGCCATAGAGAAAAAACAGCCTATAATCAGTCATACAGATTCAGTATATTATACAGCGTCATACAACGATCCATACGTTGATGTATGTATGTCACACCATTCGGGTCATTCAGTCAAATCAGATTCATAAATCAAACCTCATTCACTCTGTTCAATAGTAAAGACGAAACTGAAGTTGGCTCCTTATTCACCAACTTTTCCGTTCCACCTTAAATAGTGCAGAAGTTCTATTCTGGCGCCTATAGCCCCCAGTGTTACTGCTGCACCGTTTAAGGTGGAACGGAAAATTCGAATAAAAAGCAGACTCTGTTCGTGGGAAAGGCTCGTAGATGCCCTATTAAAGTGAAGCTGCCACCAGATCAGACTGTAAACAAAGCCCATTTCTTTATTCTCCTGTCAGTAACTCCGTCTCTCCTCCATCACTGTCACAGAACTCAGAAGGCCCAGTAACCGTTTCACAGAGCAACAGCTGAAAACTTCTCCGAGCAATTTTGATCTGCAGAGCAGCTAAAAGGGGAAACGGGTGCAGTAAAAGCTCTTACCTTCACTGCCTCTGACTGGAACTGCTAGTAAAAGAGCTTAGATATCCACATCGTCGGCTTGTCCAGGATCTGCGCCTCCGTGCAGCTCAGAGCGGAGTGTGTCGGTGTGTGAGAGCGCTGTGTGTCGGTGTGTGAGAGCGCTGCCCTCTCAGCCCCACAGCGCTCCCGAAAAATGAGGAGGGCAGGAAGCTGTGAGGTAAAAACCCAGTTAGGCTGTTTCAGATGCGAAACGAGTGAACTGGTTCCATTTAGTCGGCTGCGTGTTTTTTTTGATGGATTTGTGCTTTTGTGAAGTTTTTTCAAATGGAAAAACTTTTACTTTGTGAAGGAAGGGAAGCTGATTTCAGCTACTTTACAGCCCCTCACCTTTTAGTGTTCAATTTAATCATGTTAATCTGGACTGTTCTGTTGCTCTCTGGAGCTTAAGCATTTTATTTTCGGCCAAAGTTTCTAAAAAGCAGAAGAACAGCTCATAAGAACCTTCAGTCCCGATGCTGATATGTGCTAGATATATAAACAAGTTCTACTGCAGTTTTTAGGGAACTCACTACTTGAGTTAAAAGAAAATCATATCTGTATGTATGTATGTGTATGTATATATATAGATACACACCAATCAGGCATAACATTATGACCACCTCCTTGTTTCTACGCTCATTGTCCATTTTATCAGCTCCACTTACTATATAGGTGCACTTTGTAGTTCTACAGTTACAGACTGTAGTCCATCTGTTTCTCTGATACTTTGTTAGCCCCCTTTTACCCTGTTCTTCAGTGGTCAGGACCCCCATGGACCCTCACAGAGCAGGTACTATTTGGGTGGTGGATCATTCTCAGCGCTGCAGTAACACTGACGTGGTGGTGGTGTGTTAGTGTGTGTTGTGCTGGTCTGAGTGGATCAGACACAGCAGTGCTGCTGGAGTTTTTAAACACCTCAGTGTCGCTGCTGGACTGAGAATAGTCCACCAACCAAAAATATGCAGCCAACAGCGTCCTGTGAGCAGCGTCCTGTGACCACTGATGAAGGACTAGAGGATGACCAACACAAACAATGCAGCAGCAGATGAGCTATCGTCTCTGACTTTACATCTACAAGGTGGACTGACAAGGTAGGAGTGTCTAATAGAGTGGACAGTGAGTGGACACAGTGTTTAAAAACTCCAGCAGCACTGCTGTGTCTGATTCACTCAGACCAGCGCAACACACACTAACACACCTACTTTCAAATTATGAAGGTAAGGTCTTTCAGCTTGAGATCAAAACCACCCCCTTTGTTTTACAAATGCATGTGGACATAATTTACACCAACCAAATTGATCACTCTTTTGTTCCCTCAATGAATTGTCCTCTTTTGAACTGAACTCAACAGTGGTTCCTGATCCCCAAGTTAACCTTGTTACTGTAACAGTCAAAATTAGATTGGCTGAATCACAAGAAATGACATCATTTGATCTGATAAAAAGGTAGACTGTAAAATGAGCAGTCACATTTTCGTCTTTTCATTGTTCTCCTGATTAGTGATGTCAAGCTAAACATACGAGTCTCCAGTTCTTCTTTCTTTCTCTGCTGACAACTAAACACTATAATGCCATGCAAAACATAAACACAGCTATTTATCAACCAAACAATTTAAGCTAAATCTTACTGTAGTCTGCCCATGACAGTCTTTGAACATGAATTTTTTAATATACTGAAATATCCACCATGACCTTCCTGACCTTTGACCCAACTCCTTGCAAGACTTCAATTTTATTATCCCAATATATTAAGTTACTGAAATAAACCAAGTAGTCCATAAATTACACAGAACTGTATTGAAAATTAGAAAGTATCACCGATACAACATAAACATTTCTTTCCATCACATCATGAAATCTCAAAAGTTTATCCAACACAAACTCTGAACTGAATGACGTCTTCCTTCAACAGAAATGCAGATGCAATACTGTCCTTAATAATTAGTATGAGCACAGTTCACTTCAGCTAGACAAAAGGTGAAAATGTAGATCACATTTCTAATATTGTTAATTATATGATTCATAAGAAACTAAGACTGCAATTTAAAAATGAAGACAAGATGGGAATCACGACCTGCCTGAAACGAGAACTTAGCCAAGAATGACTTGCTTACCGTATTAGTAAGCGAAGGGTTTATGTATGAAGATGGGGACCATTAATTATTTAACGAAATAATCCGCAGTGCTCACTGATAATGTAAAGCGCGAGTTTTTCAGTGTCCAGAGTTTTTTAGCTTAAACAAATGTTAACCGTGTTCATGTAAAAAAACAGAGTCAGCTGCATAAGGGGATCATATCAGCATGTAAATTGGCACTTCTACCTCCGTATTCAGGTGGGACTGATCTGCATCAGTAGTAAACGTTTTCCGTTAATAGGAGTACATAATGCCATGCATATTTTCTCCTCCATTAAGTAAAAATTTAACCAAACTGCATAAATGCTAAGTGGCAGAATTTCACACCGGATGTCTTGGAACAAACATCACAATGAACCAGTCGTTTACCCTACACAGAAACACAGAGACAGGTGAATGCATGTTTTAAAGAGGGGCACTGCACCGGTACGGGCAGGCTGGAGTGAGCACTGGACAACAGGGGGGAAGACCCAGCCCTCGGCACAGTGACAGCGCCCTGTATGATAAAGTCCAGGAGGGGGAGAGCTTTTAGCTGAGCACCACATGCCGGTCGAAGACAGACTTGCGCTGTTCCTGGACCTGCCTCCTCCAGCGCTGCTGAGCATGCTCCACTTTATTCAGCATATTGGGACGAGAGCGTGAGTGAGACAGCACATCATGGGCGTTAGCGAACGGCTGCTGGTCCTAGAAACCCAAAGAAAAACATTCATTAGTGCAACATGAAAATAGTAAATCTCTGTGGCTCAATTCTTACATATTTCTAACACCAATTTTGTTCCAAACGCACAATGACAATGTGTTCTATATAACAGGGTGTTACAGTACTATGACCCAAATATTAGTAGGAAAGGTGGTCAAGGAAACATCAGTTACACAAACACATACCCCGACATCGTCTTCACTCTGGATGAGCTGCGAGTGGCCGAACAAGCGCCTCTTCAGCATGGGCTCGAGCAAAGTCAAATAAACCATGTACAGCAGGAGCAGCCCCAGCACAGACAGGTAAATAATGATAGTTGCCTGCAAAACAGGAAGAACTGTTGCTTAGCCTTCTAAATAAAATGGAGGATACACCGGCCTCTTTATTAGAAACCCCATTCTAATACTGAGAAGGGCCCCCTTTGGCTTTAGAACAGCCTGGATTCTTCATAACCTGGATTCAACAAGGTGCTGGACACTTTCATTAATAACTTCTGGTCCATTGTGTCAGAGCAGAATGACTGCAGATTTGTCAGATTCTGTGAATCTCCTGTTCTACCACATCCTAAAAGTGCTCTACTGGATTCAGATCTGGTTACTGGGGGGCCTACTGAGGTACACTGAACTGTCATGTTTACAGAACCAGACAGGAATGAAACCTGATGTGGTCTTCTGCTTTTGTAGGTCAGCCGCCTCAAAGTTCAACACATTGCACGTTCAGAGATGCTTCACCAATTAACACTGTTGTAAAGAGTGGTTATTTGAGTTAGGCTGCCTGTAAGGTTGAACAAGGCTTGCCAGTCACCTCTGACCTCTCATCAGCAAGCATTTCTGCTGCTCACTGAATGTCAAAAACACTGCTGTACAATCTGGTGTGAACTCTAGAGGCTACTGTGCATGAAAATTCCAGATCAGCAGTTTCTGAAATACTCAAACCGCCCTGTCTGGCACCAACAATGCCACAGTCAAAAGCGCTTACACTCTCAGAAAAAAGATATGAAACTGTCACTGGGGTGGGACCCTAAAGGATACACCTCATTACCTTTAGTCAGGGAACATAATTGTACCAAATAAAATTATATTTTCTAGGTTGTATTGACTCTACACACCCCGTCTCCTCTCCAGGCTTTATATTTTACTGTCCTGCTTTAAAACATTCGGTTATGAAAGAGCACAATTACATGCCTTTCCACAAGGAAAGACCACTGTTGTACCATTGAGGATACTTTTAAACTGTTTCCATCTTGATGAATGAGAAATGCACCTCCACAGTCCCTTTATTTTTAACAGTGTAGAAAACATTTTTCATCGTTCTGATGTTTGATGTGAATATTAACTGAAACTGCGGCACGGTGGCGCAGTGGGTAGCGCTGTCGCCTCACAGCAAGAATGGCCTGGGTTCGATTCGAATCGTGGAGTTTGCCTGTTCTCCCCGTGTCTGCGTGGGTTTCCTCCGGGTTCTCCGGTTTCCTCCCACAGTCTGAAAACATGCAGTCAGGCTGATTGGACATGCTAAATTGCCCCTAGGTGTGAGTGTGTGTGTGAATGTGTATGTCTGTCTGTCTGCCCTGCGATGGACTGGCGACCTGTCCAGGGTGTATCCTGCCTTCCGCCCAATGACAGCTGGTATAGGCTCCAGCACCCCACCGCGACCCAGAAGGATAAGCGGTTTAGATGATGTATGTATGTATGTATGTATTAACTGAAACTCTCGACCATTACAGGCTGAGTAAGTGTGCGTGTGTTCCCAATAAAGCGACTGGTGCGTGTTTACTGAACCAGCCCTGCAACAAAATGTACACATGACAGAAGCTTAAGAAAAGGCAGAACACTCACTTTAATAGTTCCAGAACTTCTCTCCTCATACTTGCACTCACAGCGCAGACAGTAAGCCTCCACGTCTTTCCCCTCAACTGGCATCGGCTCCACAACATGGAGGCAGTTGCTGTGAATATGAAAACACATTATGGCCAACATTGTACAAGTCTCTGCCACAGCAGATCACTGATTAAACTGAAGTGTTGCTGTTTAACTCGATTACCAATCCTTCAGTGAAACGTTCTGATTGTAGATCTGCCCCTCGATGTCTTTATAAGGTGGGCAGATGCATTTACACCGGATATCCTCGGATTTCTGCAAAACAGAAAGTAAATAACCAGAAAAAAGCAGAACAAGGCAACAAATTCTGTGCTTAAGCTAATGATCAATAAAGGCCACGGGCTGGTTGGGTTCTGTGTGTTTCGCCTTAAAACACTAAACCGCAGTACAGGTGCCTGATATATAAGATATATAAGCGTTTTAACTAACTAATCAACCAATTTCTGCTGATGTTACTGACGTCAGCGTTATTAAGACGAATGCTAGCGTTATTTAGGCGAATGCTAGCGTTATTAAGGCGAATGCTAACGTTGTTAGGGCTAATGCTAGCTTGCTAACTCGAATCCTGTATGTAAACAGAGCGCTAACTCCGCTTATAAGCGAGCTAGCAGGACTATTTACACCAACAAAGCGGTGTAAACCTTATACAACAGTCAGTAAACTGGATCAGAACCGCCATTAAAGCATTAAAGCCGAATCTTACCTTGGCTTCTGCTTTCTGTGCGGACAACATCAAACAGAGACAAACCACCGTCAAACCGGCGGCGCCCCTTCGGCTCTGCGGCGGCATGGTCCGCTTCCAGCACCGGCAGCGAAGTCGAGCGATAAAATGGGCGCCTCGACTCGGTGAGAAGTGGCTGCAAAACAGACGTTTATCTAAGATAGTCGCTCGGTTCTGTTTCGGATCCAAACCAGCAACGCGCTGTTAGCTGGCTGAAGCTGTTCTTCCGCAAAGATCAGCTGACCATCATTAGCCTGCGCGCAAGACACACCTTCCCCTCGGAAACCAGTCAGTGGGAACCAAGAGGCCCGCAAATGAGCGGAACTCGAGTTAAAGAGAAACTCGAGTCGAGTCAAAGTTTATTTACACAGCGCTTTTTATAACAGGTGCTGTCGCAAAGCAGCTTTACAGAAAAATCCGGGTCTGAGTCCCCATGAGCGTCGCCAGTGGAGACAGTGGCAGGAAAAACTGCCTCAGAGCAAGAGGAAGAAACACTGGGCCCAGTCCCAATTCTTGTTTTTACCCCTACCCCTTGTTTTCGAGTGTCACTCTAACCCCTTGGAACTGAGTTACAGGGTAGTGGTTGAATCCTCCCTCTGAAATGGGACCCTCAGATAAAAAGAGCATCACTTCATTAACAGCTACCAGCGCTGCTCTGTAGGCGACCCTGCCAGTCTGCAGTGACAGCAGAGGAGGGTGAAGTTCAGCTCCTCACTGCTGGGCTTTAGTTACATTTAGGGCACCATATGCCTTCAAAGAGGGGGGCAATTATTTATTATCACCCACCACTAATTCTTCAGTGATATGAAGCTGAAGTCAGATATTCATCAGATTCTTGTTCGAATTTTCCCGTTCCACCTTAAATGGAGCAGCAGTTGCATTCAGGCGCTTCAGGCGTCAGAACTGCTGGACTATTTAAGGTGGAACGGGAAAGTTAGCTGGCTAGCAACCGAGACATTAGCATGCTATTAGCGATTTTTTTGCTTGTTATGAAGAAAACGACCAAAATACACTGAAACGATGTTAAACTAAGATAAAACAGTGGTTATTGTCATTTTTAACGGAGAAAATTCTCACATTTGTGTGTCTTTTTGGTCTCTCAGTTGTATCTATCCAAGGGAAAACCACTTTCCAAGGCTGAAAAATAGAAAAGTCTATTTATAGACTGACTCCGTGACCTCTAGGTTACGGCTAATGGTGGTAATTTGTAGCAGAGCCCCTAACTTGATGAAACGCTGCTGTGTCATACTCACCATCTGTAGCTTTTTAATTGTAGTCCATTTTAACTGTAGCCTAAATATCACTCTTTAACAAAGCTGCAGTCATTTGAATGCTTTTCCCCTATTTGTGAGATCACATCATAACATAAAACAAAACAGCACAGAGTTTGTTTGTTTTTATTTACATGTTAGATGTACAGACATAAAAATATAGACTTTAATTTAATCTCTATAACAAATGAGTAAGTAATCCTAGCTCAAAGTCTTGTAGTCAAAAGGTACCGCAGAATTCCCAGAACTGATCGATCAATTTGCAAATGTGTAAGATTATGTGTGCACCAGTTTTCCAGACTAAGATTAAACCTGAGCCTAAATTAACAAGAACTTTCAGTGGTTATTCACCACTTGAACTGCAATTTAGTTTAAGACTAAGTCTAATCCATGTCTGGAAAACTGGCCCTTAATATTCCAGAGAAAGCACAAAGCCATTCTTTCATTAGACAAGTTACTCAACAACTAGTGCTGTCCAGAATTGCTGACCTGGAAAAAATGTGCATATTTTAACAAGTTTATTACTGTAGACAGATGAAGCCTACAGATTCTCTACCAGGGTGGCGTTTAGGGTACCGGCCACCATACAACGAAGAAATACAACACCATGAGAGTTTAACTGAATCTAATACCTTTGTACATAATATACAGCCATTCAAATCATAAATGCTTTAACTGCCACTACATTTTCTCTAGTAGTGCTTTGAAGATTTAAAATAAGGTGATATGTACTATATATATATTTCATATACAACGTCTCATCTCAAAAAGCAACAGAGAAGATCTCCTTTATTTCTCAATGCCAACATGACTGGCATGTACTATGCAGGACTAAGTCAATTTCAGAAATTAGGGAATGTACAATGATGTGGTACAGGAATGGTTTTAACTTGTTTCGTTTTGACTAGGAATGCACCGATATGGGAATTCTGGGCCTTTATCTGATATTTTTCTTTTACATATTTGTGCTATTGCCAATATATACAATTGTGAATGCATCCACCCGGATTAGCACTACGGATTTATTTTCAGAAGAAGCAGTAAATTGAGCTTGAAAAAGTTCTGATATTTTTAAAGCGATTATCTGCAGATACTGATATGATTCCGTTATCACTGTGCATCCCTAAATGTGAAGACGAAAAGCATTTTGAATTTGAAGAAATGTCCAAGACAGCTTTGTATATGATTTTCTGTCAGAGGACAGAAATGTGTCAGTCTTTGATTTTTGCTCTCACACCCACATCCATATTGTAGATATAGGTCCAGATGCTTAGGACTGTGAGGTACACAGGACGCTGTCTTTCAACAGCATCACACTGTATCTCATCTGTACAGTAACAGTGGCAGCTACCAATTCATTCAATGGAAGTAAAGTTCATTTCCATGTGGAAAAATATCCCAATAAAGTCATTAGTGAAAAAAATCCCAGGCGTACGTTCCAGTCTTCATACAGCCGAGACAATTTGGATTTTTTTTTCCAGGTTTGTAATTCAGTGGCTGTATAGTGACTCCGTAAAGAGTTCTCTGCAGATTATTCCTAAGGACGCAAAAATCGCAGAACTTTGGAGCGAAGGAATTTGATAAATGATTTTGGGAACATCTCTCTGGATTCCTGAGCCGTGTAATTGAAGAAGTTTTGTGGATGAGCCAGAACGTCAAAGAGACACTTCATCAGTTTCTTATCCTGAAGAACAAAGATCAAACATTTAGAATCAGTATCTCAATAGTATGATTCAATCATCAGAGAAAATAGAGACACTGTGCTGCATTTCTACCTTTATCCACAAGGTGGCAGTACAATCTCATTTGTCAATCCTTTACTAAGAGCTCTAAGGAAAGATGAGAAACTTCATTTTTACCTTTAGAATTTCCTGATGGTTCTCAGAGGCGTATAGTCTTCCATCCCGGACTATGTCCTCAATGAGCTCCTGGTAGTCCTCTGACAACGAACAATAAGTAATCAATGTAATATTCACATTTATTTGTTTTACACATCTACAACATCTCCTGTTAATCCCATCTCCGCTTTTCTCTTACCATCATACGTTACGTAAGGCACCTGGAAGCCTTTCCCACTGTTGCCCTCATTGGACCTGAACTGGATCCACAGCTTCTTAGAGCGCGAGGTGAAAGCAATGGGTCGCTCGTACGTCTGACACGTCTCATACGTTGTCACTGAATTTGGAAGAGCTGTGGGACACAAAAAAACAGCTGCAATCACACGCAGTTCATTCCAATGGTGTATTTTAACAGGAGGACACACGTATACGTTACTCATCATCTTCGCCCAAAATCCCTGAGGTTCACAGACTTCTATTCCAGATCAATGAGCTGAATTGTTTTTCATTTTCACTTACAGCTCTTCCGCATGACCAAGTAGTCCCCACACTCATCCTCCATGGGGAGGAAGATCTCAGGGACCACGATGAGGATCCTGCGCTTAGGAGGTGGATTGATGATCCAGGTGCACTCGATGTTGGCCGGGTAGTCACCGGGGTAGTTGGGTGACTCGATGTAGCCGGTGTAGTCTCCAAGCTCCCCTCCACAGTGCCTGTCTGTGATACGGTCAGGAGGGTGTACTGAATAGTTATTAACTGGTAAAACAACTAAAAATGAAAATAACAATTAATGACATAAGCAGAAGGTGAATGAAAGCGAAGGTGAGACAGAAATCACATATACTCAATGAACAAGTGTAGCTGATCAGCTTGTTTGATGTTGTCCTTCTTTATTTTTGCACCAGAGTTATGAGAGTAATGTAGTTAACAAGTACTGGAAGCTTATAGCCACCAGATTAGTGTTGTGCACATTCCCTACATAAATCATCACTCATCAGTTTGTTAAATGACCTCAAATAGACCTGCTTATGTTCTACCTGACACTGTATGACATTAGCTATGTCACATTAGCTATGTGACATCAGGGGAGAGTGGGGCACAGCCTGAGACATTTTGAATTTTGCAAAATAATTTTAAATCTAAACGTATTTGAGCAGGATGAATCATTTTTATATATAAATAGCGTAGACGTTTCTACTACAGATGAAAACATAGACTTTCCAGCATGTCTGGAGTAATTTAGCCAAAAGTGGTGGGAGTTCAAACCTTATAACTCACCCAAAAGGCAGAGTTAACTGTAGCACAGTTTGAGGACTAGTTGTAACAGCTGCTGTACAGTATGGTAAATCCTAACAAGCACAATTATTCAAACCAGTTCTATATTTTTTGAACTAGATGAGCTTTTCAACACAAATACATTAATAATCTCTGGAAAAATTTATGAAAAAGTAGTGAGGAAAGGGGGCAGCACGGTGGCGCAGTGGGTGGCGCTGTCATCTCACAGCAAGAAGGGCCTGGGTTTGATTTCCGGCCGGGTGACCAGGGTCATTTCTGTGTGGAGTTTGCCTGTTCTCCCCGTGTCTGCGTGGGTTTCCTCCGGGTACTCCGGTTTCCTCCCACAGTCCAAAGACATGCAGTCAGGCTGATTGGACATGCTGAATTGCCCCTAGGTCTGAATGTGTATGTCTGTCTGTCTGCCCTGTGATGGACTGGCGACCTGTCCAGGGTGTATCCTCCCTTCCGCCCAATGACAGCTGGGATAAGCTCCAGCACCCCACCGCGACCCAGAAGGATAAGCGGTTGAGATGATGGATGGATGGATAGTGAGCAAAGGCTGCGGCAAATTTATTTTCAGCCACAAAGTGCAAGAACTAATTTTAGAACACACACACACACACACACACACACACACACACACATTATCTAAGCCGCTAATGTTCCTGGGTCGCGGGGGGCAGTGCTGGTGCCTATTGGGCGGGAGGCAGAAAACACCCTGGACAGGTCGCCAGTCCATCACAGGGCAATACCAGAATAATAAAATGTAAATATATTCACATGATGTTTATAGTACATTTTGGATGAATCTGTGCACAAAAAACCTCCAAAAAACAACTGTTTCACATATGAATGTGTACATTTCTCTCTTATCATTTTTTGGGAGGCTTAGTTGTAACACTGCATTACAAATACCCCTCACCGTGTGGATACTGGCCCAGCTCGCTCTCACTGAGAGTGCATATTACAGTCTTCAGGAGGAAGATCAAAGTAATTCAGACATCAATTCTCAACTCAGTAACACTAAAGATGAAAGAAGTTACTTTAATGGTATAAAATCTTGAGAAATATTTGTTGGATTTCGCTGTAAAATTCACAGATGATGTTGCTGGGAAAATACGAGGAGATGATCAAAAGCATGTTCTACTTGAATCTATTTAACTACATAAAACACGTTTCTTTGTGACCCACTCTCCTTTACCTGTTAGCTACATTAGCCTCGCAGCTCCAGTGCAAAACGAAAGAAGCTAATTTCACACTGAACATGTCTGATCATCTACATTTGGGCGTCTGAATCGTCGTTTTAATCTGAAGTTCAGTTTCATCCTCTTTTCACTGTTCTGGTGGTTCTACGTTGTTCTTACAGAACCTTTTTTATTGTATTTATAAGTCCTTCTGAGCTAACAGAAGACGTATCTTGCATACTTTTGCACTGCGTGATGTTGGTCGAACCATCAAAGTCAGTGGTGGTGTTTCCAGGACAGGCCACACAGTAGTTCTGGCCGAACTCCACCTGGTATGTTCCCACAGGGCAGCGAATGCAGCGATGAGTGCTGGTGTTGTAGTAGTGTCCAGGAGAACACTGCACTGTGAGGGGAGAGAATACAGAGCATTGGGCATTGAATCCCCCAGACATAATCTCAGCATTCTGACAGCATTATAGAGTCAGTATTTACTATGAAGAACAGAGAAGTAGCTCCAACTGATCTAACAGAAAAAGGTACTGTTAGCAGGACTTTACAGGTGAATTCCATAGATTTTTCCAAATGTCAGTCGTTGAGATTTAATCAGTCATTCAGACAGTTTTGAAGTGACATGGTCAACTGCAGAGAAACTTTCAAACTCATTTTCTCTACAGTGGTGGTGATAGGAACCAGGGGTCAGAATGTAGACAACACAAATATAGCCTTTTTACTTACTGTCCAAGACAACCAGTGAACCTACCTGTGTCTTCTGAGTTTATATAAGTTATGTTGAAAATGGTAAAATAGTGTTAAACCTGAAAAAACAACTTTTCTTTTGGAACTATTTTGCCTTACAATGCCCTGCATGTACTTTTCCACCATGAATGGATTTAAAAAAAAATTGAAAAAAAGTTTAGGCTAATCTCAAAACTAGTGCCCAACAGTGTCTCAGGCATCAGGCAGTGCATTCATAACCATTCAGTATAATAACTTTCTTTTAGAGGCTTTAGCAGTTTGGACGTCTGGTTCCTATCACCAAAACTTCTACCACCAATTCTGACTCGTTAAGTTTCTCTGGAAAGGAGCATTTCACATCAAACCACAGACTTTAATTACAGCTTAACAAATGAATTTTGCAGTTTAAGTCAATAGAATTCCTGTTTAAGCACTGGAAGCATGTTATCTTCACCTTTGGTCTCGCAGGCCTGGAAGGACACTGCACCATCGTGCTTGGTTATGAGACTTCCCCCACAAGGGAAGCAGAAGGTGCGACCCATTTCCGGCTGGTAGGTGCCTCGGGGGCAGGGCCGACAGGGCACAAAGCCGTCAGGAGAGAACTGTCCAGGAGAGCATTGCCCTAAAGGCCAAAAAAAAACAGAAAAGAAGATCTGAGACAGGCCAGCTGTGGTCTCTTGTCAACCCCTCCTCTCAAAGAAAGCAGGTTAAGATGATGTAATGCAAGTTCATTATCTTGGACCGCACAGGCCTTCCCACATCTCCTAAGTGACATCAACAAACTGGATGCCATTGAGGCAGCCCTGATAGCCCCCTTTGTTGTGTCTATCAGGAGAAAGCGGAAGATTAGATCTGGGCCTTGGTGACTAACTGCCTGTGATAACAGTGTGCTGTCGAACAGAAACATGGCGGTGCCTTTTCCTCTTCACACGAGGCAGCCAGGGGATCTTTTGTGAGGGTGAAAGAATCAGCAGTGACAGTATTCTTAAGATTCCTCTACATCACAAACAAGCCCCACCGCATCTGCCTGTGAGATTTTTATCAGCACAGGTAAGCTTCCTACTCTTCCTACAGACAAAAAGCAGGATGTGATTCAGGGTATAAGAGAAAAAGTCTGATAGAGCAAGCTATAAAAGATAACGGTGCTTGGATAAAGCTTTGGCAAAAACATACAAACAACTGGGTTACCAACAGATCTGAGAGCAGAAGGACCTCAGTGAGAGGGAATATCTCGGGGATAAACAGGCTGCGGGCTTGTCTGTTCAAGGAGAGCTCTTTGGAGATGTCTCACCTCCACACTCTGCGATGCTCCGGGCTCCTGTGGCTCTCGGGGTGGCCCTGCCGTCCTCCGGACCCGGGCACACCTCACATGACACTTGTCCTTCCTCATCTTGGTACGTCCCGGCTGGACAGGAGACACACCTCCCCTGCTCGGTGTCATGGTATGTTCCCACACTGCAGCTCACTGGATGGAAGAAACATAGGAACGTGAAGACGCTCATCTCATTAAAACATTCAGACGGCCCCACGTTACAGTGCTAATCATCAAACGTAATCAATCAAGACATGTTTGTTGCTCAAAGTTTGCCTCTTCAGTTTTGCACTGAAGGAAAAGGGCTATCAAAGTAATGGAAGCTTATGTACAGCACTGCCTCATTTTCCCATAATTCATACACTGAGATATATACAAAATCATTCAGAGTGGGTTTATAATGCTTCATTGTAGAGAAACATACTAACTCAGACCTTGTCTTCACTGTGGAGTTGAGAACAGTTTTATTTGATTCAGAATGACCAGTGAACCCACGTGTCTGAGTTTATACACGTAACGTTGATGTAATACGTAAAAATGTTAAAATAGTGGTAAATCACAAAAAAGAAGTTTTCTGTGGGGACTTTTTTGCCTCTCCACCATGAATGTGTTTAAGGCCAAAACCCTTTCTTAAAATGATTTTTTAAAATCTCAGATTTTAGGCAGCATATTTGTAAACATGTCATGTGACAGCTTTCTGTGTTCTAGCTTTTAGGGACATTAAGCCCTTTGGACAGCTGGTTCTTGTTAATATGGTTCTGACACAGTAAGACTTTGTTTAAAGATTTAATTATACCGAAATATAAAATATGGTCTAATTCTTTAGGATGTCTCAAATAGACACAGTGTCCTCTTTTTTGAAAACATAGGGTGACCATATTTTAGCTATGGTAGTAGCTAAAAGGGTAGTAGCAGCCATCTTCAAGCTTGCATTTTGTCTGCACCCACGTCCATTTTTATAGCTCACAGTATGTCAGAGTCAGAAATCAGATTATATTTTATATATCTTAACACGTTTATGTGGCTCGAGACGAGTGTGTGATGAATCAGGCATGCAGCTCGCTGAATGCTTACCCAACTGATGTTCGTTCCTATTAACTGTTAGGTACACTAGCATCATATCTACAGTACAAACCAAAGGAGGCAAACCTCAGACACCAAACATGTCCTGGCCCATTGACCACATTCGGAGGAGGAGGGGGGTTTTTTGTTATCGTCTGATTTTTTTTGCTTTAAGCTGTTTAAAAGGGCATCACGAATCATCCTTACGCGGCTATTCCAAACATTCCGACAAAGAGGAGAGTTGAGCTTCTCCTCAGCCACTTAGCTGCACACATCAAAACACAATCCCATCATAAGCACCCACACCTTAGAAAGCAGACGCTGCACAGCTCCCAGGCAGCTTTGCCCCCTTTACCTCACAAGAACTCATAAAGGCTGATTACAGGGAAGCCAGCAAAGTCTTTTTAATGTTTGCTTTGTAAAAACAAAATTATACAGAGTGATTTATAGCAAAGCCTTCAAGTGTGTTTTGCACATGCCGGACTGAACTGGCTACTGACTCTGCACAGGGGTGAACTGGTGGTGGAAGCTGATGTGACTATTTAATGAAGTTAATTAAGTGCCTCACACAAGTTTAAAAGCTCTTTTTAGCTTAGCAAGTCTGTTTTAAAGTAGCCCAACATTCACAGGCAGCCAAAAAGAGGAACAGCGTCTAACTAGAGTCACACAAAGGGCTTTTCTAACAAGCCAAGCCTCTGCAAATTGCTTGATCCTTCCCTTAAAAAACATGAGAGTATAACTTTCAGGATCAGTTCATTTTTTTTCTTCTTTGTTTCTCTTGAGCAACGACCACGGAGAACCACCAACGCATTGTCTCAGCTTGGCTTTAAGAGTCAGAGGAGGAGAGGAAAGGAAGAAGATGGAAAATGTGTGTGTGTGTGTGTGTGTGTGTGTGTGTGAGAGAGAGAGAGAGAGAGAGAGAGAGAAACCTTGAAGCCTTTCAAATGCAAAGTGGTGATTCTATTGAGTTCTCGAATTGATGGCCCCAAAGAGGTTTAAAGGACCTTTCACCTCTATTCAAGTCCCCTGGACTCTTGCTTATTTGATGACATAGGCGAACACTATGGTATCACAGCGGTAAGGAGCTGAACCCAATAAAAGGGGTCAGGATTGTGAATCCCCCTATTGAGGGGAGCCCAATCGCTCCCCGCGCCCCATCAGGCAGGGGCCCAAACAGCTGATGCTAATTGATTCCCATGGTGTCGCTGAAGTCAATTTTCTCGAGCAGTTCACTGGCTGGGGTCACGTCGAGTGGCCCTTCCTAAGAAGGAATTTGGCACTTAAACTGCCCGCTTGAATAAACAGCCCCACTGAAACGTCTCCCTTACGAAAACAAACATCCCAACAATAACCCGCCGCATTTACACGCTACAGAAGGAGAGGGCAGCAAAAAGCGCAAATGTTTTCCAAACAAGCTGCCTTTATTTCTAGCTGTTCCACTGTAGTGGTCAGGATTTGGGAACACCTCTGAATGAAGCGTGTACCATCAGCATGCATCACTTTACCATCGGAACTGCTTCCTAAAACAGAGTTAGAACAATATATAGCGAATCAGGAGTTTGAATTCACATCGATGAAACTTTTAATGGCTCCTCAGTCAGTTCACTACTATTTAGAAAACACTACATAGTGAACAGTAAATTAGTGACACCTGAGTTAACAAGTGAACCATTCTGACAAAACCAATATAACTACTGCTCATATCTATCTTTCATTCAAATATATAATATAAACATGCTGCACAGCACTAACCCAAAATAAAGCAGCAGTACATTTTGTAGTTAAATCATAAGGACGTGGCAAACAATACAACTGACAGCACACATTTCCAAGGGCCTTCTAATAAACCCCCTTCCTCCCTCAGTGAAGCTCAGTGGCTGTGCTGATGTGGGGATTTTTCCTCACCCACTCCAAGCCCCACTGGGGTTTACAATGGAGTGGGCAAACTGAAAAGGCTAAACTGCACTTAGCGAGGGCAGGCCAGTGGGGGAGGTGGCGATGGGGAGGAAAAAATATAGCTCCTTTTAGAGTGGAGGGTTAAAGCTCCCTTTGAGCTGCCTCTTGGAAATTGTACGTCTGCGCTTCTTAGTCATCCTCCAGCCTGCCTAATGATGCTACGGGCTCCCCATGTAAAACCAGCACCATGACATCAACACACCATCTGTGTGCGCTGGGATAGTCTGGCAAACACAAATAACGTCCCGTATTATACAACAGTTCGTTTTGACTACACAGTCTGATTGGAAACGGGATGGAAAATGTTCTACTTGTGTCGCTGTGTCTGATAACAGAACACTTTTCCTTAGTGAATAAATAGGAATGCCAATATTATCAGAATTATATTGGTATCGGCAGATATTTGCTTAAAAGCCTGTGTATCTATTTTTTCTTAGAAAATCAATAAAACATACCATTTGACCAGCAGAGCCCAAACTTGCATATGACTGTATATTTGATCATAATTAGGTCTGCTTCGCATTAATTATCTGTTACATAAAAGCAACAGAAAAGTCAAGGTTGTGTATTTTTGCAGGTTATGTTAAGCTCGTGTCTGCGACCATGGTGTCATTCGCGATAACACAGTAGTGGAAAACAGTGTCACAAACTAAAGCTGAATGTTTTTTAATGCCATCTTTCCTCTAAATCAGAAGCCATTGTATGAACTTAATGGTCACTTCAGTCCTCTCTATTATCAGGCTCAAGTGGAAACTGCAACTAGAATGGATCAAACGCTTGCAGCCCATCCCCCCATTGCAACATAAAGAAAGAGAGAGAGAGAGAGAGAAAGAGAGAGAGAGAATCAAGCTGGTGAGAGGCAGGCCGAAAGAGAGCGCTTTAAAGCTTCTATAAACAGCAGACATACATCAGACTCGAGTGAGAGAAACTCCATTTCTTCCACCCTTTCACTGTCTTTTTTTCCCAGGACAGAAAAAGTAGTGGACACAACCACGGACACATGAAAAGAACCCCACACTGGTCCCTCACAATGTTGACATGAAGTCCTTTAAAAGCTAATGGAATTGTCCAGCCTTACGATGGTATCATAAAAGAGGCCAATGAGCTTTCAAGCTTTGGCACCAACAGACCTTTTGCAAGAGTCCGTCTCTTGGTACCTTATCTGCGTTAGAAACAATGAGTCATCCACACAAACAGCCCAGCTCAAACCTTTGAGTTTATTCCAGAGGTGCTGGGGAGAGACGGGGGCCAAGTGGAGAACGTACTGCACAGGGTGGACGTGAGCCATGCCAGCGCTGGAGCTGGAACAGCTCGCCGAGACAGGAGCCAACAGCTTCCCTACAGGCCACTTTCCACTCCCCCAGACTCACCCCTTTAACACCGCACACACCAGCTCGCTCACTCCAAATACTCTACACTGAACACGGCGTAGGATACTGTGGCCAACATGGATGAAATAAGAGCTTCAGTCAAAAGGACTTATTATAAGTCCCATTAAAACTCCCAGCTTCAGTAGATGGCGGCGGACTAACTGACCAACTTGAACGTCCTGAAGTGTGAGTTAAGTAAACGCCCTGCGCTTGAATCGATCGGCATGTTTGGTGTTCAAAGTAGATTTGCTCATGAGGTTTCCGACAGTGTATGACTCTGTTTACTCTAAAAATATATAAAAATACACAGTAAAAACAGGAAAAGCAGCAACCGTCTGAGTTTAGTTTTTGTGCTTGTCCGTTTCTATAGACAGCAGTGGGGCTGAATGACTAAGGTAAAATGTTCAACTGTGTTTTTCTAACATTGTGACTGCGATTTAAATTACAATTATTTTATAATATAATATGAATTTAAATCTGCTTTCTGGCCACAAAGACCAGCTTTCCTGGCTTGAGGCCTGAACAATGAACATAGTGTGCCAGATTACCCGGTTAATAGTGGTTGTATCGTCATGTGCACAGCAGTTCTTTGGTTGCTTCTAACACACTTGATCCATGTAATGAAGGCCTTTCAGGAGCATCTGAATGTTAGAACCAGGAGTGCTGGATCTGAACTCTCTAGGGTGGTAGATCCCCAGGACCAGGTTTGGGCACCTATGGTCTAACTCAGCAACAGCCAGTCCGAAGCTCAGGTTTAAATCTCTCCACTTAAAACTCGTCAAGACACCATCGTTTATTATGTAGACTATAATAAAAATTGCAGCTATTTGTTCTGATGTGCCTCTGTAGATGCCGTATAGATGCTCAGTCTGTTTTTCAACTAAATATCCATTTAATGCAACTTGAGGTTGAGAGTGACAGATTCTACTAAATCTAACCTTGACTTCAACCTAAAACTCCAGAACATCATCAGAAGGTTTGTTAATAATTTAAGTATCTATAGATTAACTAAAGGGGAAAATCAAAATAAAGACTGAAAATTGCACTTTTTAATATTTTATATTGTACAGTTTAAAATATTTTTTTTCAATATGAATAAAAGATCTTTTAGCCCTAGATAACAGTACATTATACATATCTCATGCACAGTGATAACTGGTGGGGTATGAGCTTCCATTGCTTTTTAGCTACATTAGCCTCGTAGCTCTAGTGCAAAACTAAAGAAGCAGACATTGGACCCCAAACTTGTCTTAGCAGAACGACTACTTTTGGGTCAAGGGTGAAACTGTGCGTTCCCTATTGCTTTAAGATACTCCAAACAGGGTCTCTTGTATACCTTATCATAGTGTACAGCATGGAGTCACTCACCACACTTCTTGTTGACTAGTGTTTGTCCAGTGCCGCAGTGCTCAGGTGTGTCCCCAGGCCGGGGCAGTTTCTTAGCCAGTTCATACTCTGAGCCGGCGAAGTGCAGGTGGAACTGCTCTCTGTTGATGGACTTGCGTAGAGTCCGGATGGTCTTCTTCAGACGCTTCTCGGAACGCCGCCTCACACACGCCAGGTCACAGCCCTCTGCTGAGAGAGACGCTCGATACCAAACCTCGACCATGGCAACACCATAATACACACACGGCATCCAAAACATGCACACCCCCCACGAGCTCATCCAGATACACAAGTACATGTTTCACTCTCAAAACAGGAGATACTTTCACTAGCTGATTTATTTTTAGTAAAAAAGCAGCGAGCCGAGCATCACTCAGTAACAAATCATCACTGCCACAAGAAAATACACCGCATCTCAGAAACGGTAGCTCTGTAGGAAACGGGCGGAAAACGCTTTAATGTATCTTTACATCTTATTCATTTTTGACTATTTCTATTGGTCAATTTGTCATGAAATATTCACACAATATAAAGGGCCAAATGGTATGAGAAACAAAAAAAAATGACAAAACAATTTGGAGTTATATTTCAGAGGTTTTCATATGGCAGCAATGAAATGCAAGCAGACAGCGAGAAGCAGAGTGTTGGGTTTAATGAAGACGGGCATTTGCAGGCACTGCAGCGAAACCAACCTGTTACCTCCTCTAGGTTCACATCCAGCTCAAACTGGGCGGTGATGGACGAGCCCTCGTCCTCGCCCGCCTTTCGCCCGTGCCGACTACGCTGCCGGCGGCCCGAGGAGCTGCAGTGCAGCCTCACAAAGCTAAACTGCACATTCTCTGTAGGCAAAGGCCTCTTATCTTGAGAAACAGACACAAAAACACACATGGTGAGACTGATTTACCAAAAAGGACATTACAGAGTTCACTCAGCAAGTAAGGGAATGAATCTCTAATGGTAATTTAATCAAATCATTATTATTATTACATTACAGCCATTTGATTACATCACAATTAAATTCTTTAGGAAATGTCTCAGTGTATAATGAAATCTTATTTCACCATAATTCTACTTTATTAAACTGTTTTTTACATTTGGAAATAACCTGCAAAATGGCATGTGGCCCAAAAAAGAGTGTTTTATTGAATTTTATTACAATTATTAGAAATTTGTTTCAAAAGTCACACAGTTGCTTTTATTAAACAGCAACAAAACATAAAATGATTAAATACAGTAGGTAAGCAATTTCATTCATGATTATTAATATTTGTAATTCTTACTCAACTTAACAGACAGATGGGGTTTTTGATCATGTGAGCATTAATACAGAATTCAACTGATGTGTTTGGTCACTGTTTCCCTTCATCTTTTACTCTGTGAATAACGAATGTAACAAAATGCCTTTACAGCTTCACAGCCTGTTAAGGAGAACACTGGAGCCACCGACTCTTTCAGTGATCATTTAGAGTCACTGGTGGCTCAGCTGCTGAAATGCTCACCACGTTTGACTCGTTCAGCTCTCTCTAACACTGTCAGACTGAAGTGCAGAATCAGGCTATTCATAGTAGCCACTGCACCACTCATGCATTCATGACCTCACCGCACCACTGGCTCCCTGACCAGCCGAGAAGTATAGCTTATTCTGTCAACTTCCCTACATGAACCACGACCACCTATTCTCTGAACAGAGACCCTGCAGGAGGTCGCAGGTTTACGCCTGTCACTTCAGTTACCTGTCAGAGCCTTGTTGAAACTTTCAGTGAACTTGTCCTGACTCCGTTTCAGGCTGCACTTCCCCGGGCCGGATTTAAAAGTAGCCACTGTTTTGATCCTGTGGCCACAGGTAGCGTCTGACCCTGGGGGAAAGAAGGGAAGGACAATGACGTTAAAAGACCAAAACCTCACCTCTTTATTTTCTGACATATTTATGTCACATTTACAGTTTTGATTAGAACGATGTCTGTTTGAATCAGTGCTGTGCTTCGGCTGTGTCCTGTTAATACTTTCATAGTGGTGGGAAGTGAAACTGTATTGTTACCAAGGCAATGAGAGCCACTGTCATTCCACTGTCCACCAGCTACACCTGGCAAGGGCAGCCCACAGGTCACGGTATAGGAATCCTCTGCCCCTACATAGACAACATACCACATCAACAGCAACAGTGTTAGTTTGACACTCACAGCCTGACACAACACAATCTGACAATGCTTTATTAGGACTTCGTATTTATTCATTTATGTTTTTCTTTGGTTTATTCATTTTGCGTTTTGATCAGTATAATTTGCATTTTTATTAATTTTGTATCATGGTATAAATTACATTTCTGACACTTTATATATATATATATATATATATATATATATATATATATATATATATATATATATATATATATATGTTTATAATATTTGATATAGCAAATGTAACCATTTCTAATGCTTAAGTTACTTTTGTAGGTTGACAGTGGCTTATTACTGGTTTATTATATTGGGATGTCCCTTCACTCTTTACGAAGAAACACTTTTAACAACCAAAATAAATCAGAAAAAAATGATTGAGCAAATTAGTAAAAATAAAACTGATTATATTATATAGATTATATAGATAAAGCTAAGTCAATATCACTTTCTAGCACTAGCCCCACTAGCCCGACAAAGACGGTGCTAAATATTGTTTCACATTTTAAGAAGTTGGCTTTTAATTCGACAACTTTTTGTTCGAATTTTCTGTTCCACCTTAAATGTGCAGCAGTTATAATCTGCCACCCATACATGTGCTAGAACATAATTGCAGCACCATTTAAGGTGGAGTGGGAAATTCAAAAAAGTAGACAACTTCAGCACAAGGCCGTGAATGTAGTGTCATGTTATGCATCTGACTGATGTGTGTGTATATATATATATATATATATATATATATATATATATAGAGAGAGAGAGAGAGAGAGAGAGAGAGAGAGAGAGAGAGAGTGTGTGTTTTATGAAAACATTATTATTATTATTATCAATCATAAAAAAATTGAGCTGCATTTCAATCATTTCAGTATTATTTTATAATTAGTCATATCAAAGACAGAGACAGGGAATTTCCACCAAACTCCAGATCAGTCGCTCTTACCACTGCTGATGTTAACCTGCGACTGGCAGGTGAGGTAGCAATGCTCAGCCCCTCCATGCTTGCTGCAGTTCAGGGTGGGTTTGGCTGAGGCTGCCTCTGCTGAAAACCCGTCTGCTTCTAAATGTACAAGATCACAGCAAACTCGCAGATAAAGACACACAAAAGGATCTAGAACGGACTAGGAAGTGAGGAGCAACCGGAAAAACTGAACAAAGAGGGTTTCTAACTAAAGGTTTAAACAAAGCAGGGAAAACAATTTCAATACAGGTGGATTCAAGTTAGTGGTTTGAGATGTGTGACAGAAAAGGAAACACAAGAAAGAAACGAGGACCTCAAAGTATCTCCTGTTTTTTTTTTCTTTCGGCAATGGAAAAATGAGGCATGTTGAAGTGCTGACTGATCAAACACACGGAGCCCAGGGGGCACAAAAACAAAAACATTCAGATATCACTCAGATCTGCTGCCATCTTACCAACACAGTCCTTCTTGTTCCAGTGCAGCCTGTAGCCGGCGTGGCAGTGACACTGGAAGCCCCCCATGGTGTTCTCACATGTGTGCCTACACCCTCCGTTGTTCACGCTGCATTCATTAATGTCTGAGAACAGAGTGCCAGACTTAAATATTCCCAATAAACACAAAGGTTAAATAACAGAAACACTTCACTGAACCTCACAGTTGACCCATCCATGCCCCACAAAGGTGTTCCTTCATAGACCCTGTTGTGAGGTTGGACAGGTTTTGGACAAAGCTGTTAAAAATCTCATTCAGCCTAGTTTGACGTTTAGTCATACTGTCATTATCTCACCCTACGTTACAGATACAGCCAGCATCCCCGACTGAATCATCTCCGAACTTCATAGAAATCTGACTTTTTTTTTTTTGTGGGACTTAAAAATTTCTGCTTCTGTCTCGCTTCACTGCCATCACTGAGGAAGGTCTCTTTATCGATACAGCGCAGCACCAAAACACACTTCTGCACATTTTCACTGCTTTCACTGTTTATTTGCTATTTGCCTTAGTTTTGTCATTATATGCTGTTACCTGAGCCTCCTTGTACATTTATTATTGCACTGCCTTTTTATCTCAGGATGGATCTTATTGCATATTTTTTGTATATTTCTATTTGTATGAATGCATGTAGACAGGTTTTTGTATATATTCTTGTTTTTATATTGTATCACCCTTATTATTATAACTGTCCTGTGTTGTGTGACTGATACTGGCAGCTAATTTTCCCCCAGGATCAATAAAGTATCTATCTATCTGTCTGTCTATCTGTCTATCTGTCTATTTGTCTATCTGTCTATCTATTGGGAGAAAAGAAGTAAAAATAGTTATGGCACATTTTATATTTTCTGTTTTAATTTTTTTAAATATGTTCAGTTCAGCAAATAAACAGTAACAGTGCATTAAAATGTGCAGAACTGTGTTTTAAAAATAAATAAAGGAAACAAATAGAAATTAAATGAAAACTAAACTAAAATGAACAGAAAATGCTATATTTACATCTGTTCCCTGTAGAAGATGTGTTAACTTATTTTTGTTTACAAAATCAACAAACATGTCATGTGATCAGGCATATCCAGATGTTTGCACACAGCTGTATGTGTGGCAAGTATGATAAGGAAGATGTCTGGAAGTCTTTTAGTGCCGTGTTCATCAAGCCGTGAACTTTCTGCTTCGCGTCAGATGTTTATCCCTCAAAATGTAGTCAAACAATTGACAAAAACAAACAAAACCGAAATACGTACAGTTTGATATTTCAAATGTAGGCAAAATAAACACAATTTGAAATGAATAATGCACTAAATACTGGTATTCTGACATTTACTGAGCTACAGTTTCTCATTAAGTTTATGGGATTTTTTGCCAGTATTTTGTAAAATGTGACCAATTTTGCAACAGTTGCAACAAAAGAATGTATTTATGGGCGGAGCCAGGGGCATCGCTGGCCTGGGCTTCTGGGGCTGAAGCCCCGAATGTTTTTAACCAGCCCCAAACCTTCACCCACTCCTCAAAAGATAACAGAGACAGAAAAGAAAGAAATCGTCAGAGACGGAGAGCGCGGGAACGTCCCTCCCATCTTTTTCTTTCTCTTAGAGATTTATGCAAAAGATTAAATGCATGAGTTCATTAAATTTCTATAAAAAATAAATCTACTACACTGTAAAAAACACTTTAACCCCTAAAAATCCCAGGTTTATTATACTCTAAGTCTTATTGTTCAGTAACTACAGGGACCCCAGTGCAAACAGGTTGAGCTATTCTTAAGTTATAGAAGTGTGTAATAAAACTTTGGCTGTTTAAGGGTTTAACTTATAAAAACAAGTAAACTGGTTGTTTTAAAACCTCAAGTTCACGGAACATTAAACAGTAAGTTCAGACATTAGACAGTCATCTTGTACCTTCTGTTAACTCATATTTTGAAGTACTGCAAATCAGACTTACAGCGTCCAAAAAATGTTGTACGTGAAGAAATATATTCAAATGGACAAAATACACAAAATACTGTAGAGCCCTGCAGACCTCGAACAAGGTTTATGAGGACAAAAACTGACCAAGACAGAATGTGTGAACTTTTATATTTAAATATTTTTTTTCTTGTTTGGGCAAGAAGAGTTTCACTGAATGACCAACAGCTGAAACGGTTCTGTGCTAGCAGGACATCTGAGAGGAGAAGAGTAGGAGAGATTGATGTTGAGAGAGAGGAAATGAGCAGAGGACTTTAATAATGTCATTATTGGGGAAACGTCTGTTTATCTCAATTTATTTTATTTTCTGTTATAAATATTGTTCCTTTTCTGTTACTCTGCTCTTCTTTTCCTTCGTTTTTGGTATGATTTTGTTTATAAGACACGCCAGTCAACGCTGCTGAATCGATGCACGTTTTGTGAATACATTATTTTAAAAAAGTAGTAACTGCACACAGGTTTCCAAACAACCTGCGGAGACGACACCCCGAAACAACTCTACACTGAATTGGGCTGAGCCCCGGATGTTTATGTGCACAGCCAGTGCCCCGGAGCAAAGCATGGATGGGTCCGATTTTTTTTGGAACATATATGTCACATAATTTCTCATATGTCATGAGAAAACGTTTATAAGACATTTCACACATACCTCACATATGATGATAAAAAAGTGCTTTAAAGCCAAAATCACACATTAACACTGTTCTGTTTACCTAACTCAGCTGTATTTATGTAGCATACACTACCAATCATTCGCCAAATAACAATTTTTGTTATTTTATATAAAATAATGGATTTAAATGTTCCAAACTATTCATCAAACGTATTTTAGAAGTTTTATTCAATATTTCAAAAAGACATAATGTTAGGAACAATAAGTGACTAAAATGATAAATACCAAACTGTAATTATCTGTTTACATAATTTGTTGTCGTTATCTTGTACGTGATTTGAACTTCACTTATGGAACATGAGGAATTCTGGAAGATATTATTGTTGATGCTTTTGCAGTCATTTTAGAGTCTTCTACAGCTCCGTTCCTCAATCTGGACCCAACTAAATTTCCTCTTTTTGCAGCTTCCCAGTGTCTGGATAATTAAGTGAAAGACTTACAACACTAGCAGTCTAGAATCAGGTTATAATTACCACTGAGTTGTTTTTATATTATTAAAAACACTGATTGCAAACTTTTGAATAGCAACTCCATTTTATTTCATCTGTATAATATTGATAAAAATAAAGATCAGATATTTTTACTGTTCTTCGTTATGCTTCCTGTTTCTCCTTCTGGCCTACCTGCCCTGAAACACCTTTAAAGGGCCCATGTTCTACATTTCATTTCCCCCCCTGCAGCCCAGTAATGATGTTTGTGTGGTTTTATGTTCCAAAAACACTTTTCTACATGACTATTTTCTCTTTATCTCTTAAACAGGTTGTTTTAGTTGCTGTGCCTTTAAGTCTGATATATGTAAATGACCCCTATTTTGATTGGCCGTCATGTACTGTACTGTACGTTTTTTGTGACATAACAAAAGGAATGCTGTTTTTGCTTTGTGGATTCTCTGTGTGGACTGTACGGAGTGGATAGTAATGAATGGCACTCTGTGATATTTTTACATTGTTTATATTCACATCAAACTCTTTTGAATGAGTTGTATGAGCTTCTTTCAAAAAGGCAAGGGAAATTTGGTTTTCCTTCATATGGGCCCATTAAACATTTAAGAAGACTCACTGCTTGGGCTGGGGCTGGGCTTAGACCCTTATTATCTCTCAAATTGCTAATCACAGCTTTAAAGCTAGAGACATAAACATGCAATCACACACACGGAACACGCCAGCCGGTCCTACCTCCACAGTGTGTGAGCCCGTAGAGCGTGTAGCCCTTATTGCACATGCACTGAAAGCTCCCAGGGGAGTTCACACAAGTATGGTCACAGGTCCTCTCAAAGAAGCACTCGTCGATATCTATAATTAAGCAAGAAATACATACATGCAGTGCAATGTAATTATACCTGGCTGTCAAGTCAACATAGGCCCATTTTGGGTTCTAACATCAAATATTGAATATGAAAGAAACAATCCAAGTCTTGGTTAATAATAACAGGGAGAGGTGCATTCCTCTGAGCGTTTGGACCAAAGAGGGTGTGGAGACTGTATGCTTTACCAAAATCTATTCTTAGAGCCTTTATGCTTTGCTCTTGTTAAGGATCTTCAAAGGAATCCGGCAAGTCGATACTGGCACCCTTCAAGAGACTCCCACCCCGTCTTATCTCCCAGTGCTGCTACATACGCCAGCCCCCACCCTGTTTCCCTGCGCTGTGCCGGATCAGCGGCTGGAGGAGAGCAGGAACGTACCCTGGCACGACCGCTCGTCCGTCAGGAGTTTGAAGCCTTTGCGGCAGCTACACTCAAAACTGCCGACGGTGTTCCTGCAGAAGTGGTCGCAGCCTCCGTTGTGAAATTCACACTCGTCTATGTCTAGAAAAACACAAAACAGCAGCTCAGCCACAAAACACAGTCTGGTCCTCCAACTCTAGCATGTCTGTATTCTAAGCAGTTGACCGGGGCAGACGGTTGTTTGGACCTTTGCAGGTTTTGCCGTCCGGTTGGAGAGTGAAGCCCACAGGACAGCTGCAGCGAACGCCCGTGGACGTGTCTTTGCATGTGCTGTCGCAGCCTCCGTTGTTTACGGCACAAGTCTCTGGAAAAACATGAAGCCAAAGTTTGAATCATATTTGTGCATAAATGTGTCACTCATTATTAACAATATTAATAGATCAGAACCACCATCTGTAAATGATGCCCTCGTTTATAGTGATATTAGAGATTACAGACATCTGTCATTTACCATCATCATCAACATAGGATTTTTGACTGATGTTACTTTTTACTGTATATAATGTTGTACAAATAAAGACTAGACTGTACACGTCTTCAATGTACATGTGGTCTTTGTGTATCTATGTATTAGCACTGACTCCTGTTTCTGTCACTGCCTTGACTCAATGGTATCTCGACTTTGCACTAGTTTAGAGGCAATTTTTCAAACATTTCTGCATAATTCAGTTGTTGAGATGTAAACAAAGTTATTCAGAGTGGTTTGTCATGAGATTGTGCATTCTAGAGAAACTTAATGGCTTGGATTTCTTTTCAGGGCTGGTGATAGGAATCACGGGCTGCAATATCCACAGCACAAATATTTGCATAAAATTGCTACACTTGTGAACCTACACGTGTCTGCTGTGGTTTTATTATTTTATTTATTTATTTATTTTTTCTTTTCTACCATGAATGTGTTTGAAAAAATGTAGAACAGCATTTCTGGCATCAAGTAAAAAAGGGTTGCTGTCATGCAAAAAACTTTCATGCAAAAAACCTTTTATGTACTAATAACTCCAGTTACCCTTTGTATTGTGCTCAAATTCCATGATGAACAGACCAACAGAAAAAAGCCAAAATTCTGTTTACATTAACTTCCAATACAAGTTAAGAATGTTTTTTTCCTTCAGACAGCGACGATATTCATAACCATTTGTGTAATGACTTTCTGTGAGGCAGCTTTCAGAGGTATTAAAGGCTTTGGACGCCTCTGCTGCAGTAAACAGCTCTGATCTGGAGGTTTGTGTAGAATAGATCATTTCAAATCAAACCACTCTAAAAGACTTTGTTTACATTTTGTTTTAAGACTGAATCCTGCAGACATTTTGAACAACCAGTGGAATTTCCCTGATTCCCAGAAGCTTTCCAAGTGGGCAACAAAGCACTTCTTTAAATGGTTACAACTCAGACCTTGAGAAATTCATATCATCAGTTATTGGGTTCTATTGCCTTCAATATGTCAAAGATTCAAAATTCTAACAGGGTTAGAAAAAACTTGAACCAAAACATTCTAGATCAGAACTCTTGCTCTGACACTATGCGTAATATGATGCCTGGTGTAAAACCAGTTACTGCCAATTTACTGTCTAGCATGAATGACCTCCAATGGACAACCATGTCAACATACCTACAGTGCGTTCCCAGATTATTAGCTACGTCTAGTTTGTATTTGCACCCACTGGGCTTTTTTATTCGGTACATTTAACGTTTAGGTTTACAATTACTGACAGAAGCCCATCTATTGCTCCACAATTTACCAGCTCCACCACCCCCCCCCATTCATCAATGCAAAAGGACCACCATTAATAAGATATAGTTTACGTGGCAGACGATTCTCAGCACAGAAAAGAGACCAACATGGTACTGGGTGTTGAGGTAGACGCATACTAGGTGTAGCCGTATTGCTGTGATTTTTAAAAAGTATCACCGCTGGGTTGAGAATAATCTGCCCACCAAAGATCCCGCCAGTAGTTTCAGAAACTGACCACTGTTGAGGGGCTACAGGATGACTAACACAAACTGCGCATGGAGGTGAGCTGCAGTCTCTTACTGCACACCTACAAGGTGACAACAAAGTACGTGTGTCTAATAAAATGGCCAGTAATTGTCAGTAAGTCTATTTTCAATCACTATAAATTTCTGGTGGACATTCATGTCAATATAGACACAGAGCAGAAACACCACAATGTCAGTAACTCAAAGCACACACACACAGAGCAGAGGCCGTATATGATCTGGTATACAGTAGGTCTCCTCCCTCTCAGTCCACACAGCAAAACATGTGAAATGTACCACATCGTCACCAGGGCGTATTTTACAGCAGCGGGATCTGAGGCGAGAAAGCGCGGATTCTCAGCCATTTCACAGTTTGCTTCAAAGCCTGAGGAATGCCCAGCACAGCCAGGAAATACCCCTCTGTATTTACACAAGACGCTAGATTTGGGCCCAGTTTTCTTGGCTGCTACTGAAACGCCTAATGCTTTACGTTTGGATTAAATGGAACTCTTTCACATTCTTCTTTATGTGATCCCACTTTGGGACACAGATTGTAGCTAGAACACGGGAAGGGACAGAATCCCGGTTCTATGGCTTATCTGCAGTAGGCTTTTTTACCCATGAGTAGGCGCCGCTTGACACGCTTGTCCACATCGGCGAGGGAAGTGACATTGTGGTCAGACGTGGTGGTGGCCGCTTCATCTCTTTCTGAAATGTAGACAGAACAGATGATTAGACCACTGAGGAAGAAGCTGTTCATATGTAGGTAGACACCATCTCACCCCACGTTTCTTCTGAAATCAGGGTATTAAGAGGGACATTGTTCCCCTTCTTTGTCTCTATTCTTCATTCAGCCATAAGCGCTGAATTATATTTGTAATTTTGTCAGTAAACAAACTTAGCTAAATGCATAAAATCAACAGTTTTGTTTTAAATTAGGAGGAAATGTCCATCATGAATGCAACCTACACAACCTACAATCTCTCTCGAGTGGGTTTTTATTCAAAGGCATTCTGGAGAATCTTTGTACCAGGTGTGCAAAATGCTACAAGACGGCTCGTGGCTTGTTTATGTCACTGTGATACGAGTTCATTTAATCACCCAGACTGATCTGTACTCAACAAGCCGAACAGATAAATTCACCCTCCGTCATTCAAATCTGTTATGTGGCAACCACCACAGCGGACCTCCCTGACGACCAGCTCAGTGTTTATGTGTGAATCGTGATCTTGCCGGCGAATGCATGAGGTAGATAACAAAGAGAAAGCAAAGCCGAAGACAGTGCTGGTAGGACAGAGGGAAAGACGAGGCCGTGATAAACGCGGACCCCACACGCACTCGCTTGTGGTGAGCAGACACAGCCTGCAGGCTCCAGCTGTTGCTCCTCACTATCTGATCTGAGAGAGTGTGTAAGGGGCTGGGTATGAGCGCTTGTGCGTGCGCACGAAATCCCCATCACCTGCTCTGTTTGGAAATGGAAGAATTATATAGCAGCTACAAGCGACTTGCCAAGAAACAGTTGCAGAAACTGGGGGGCAAAAAAAGATAAAACAAGCAAGTGTGTTTCTTCAGTCCACAGGAAGGAGAACCGAACTGCACTGAGATGGCCAGATGCAGAAGAAATGATGTCCCGACTGATGTAGAGCTTGGCTGATAAAATCACATTAAGATTCTACCCATTTAATGGCCTTCAATAAAGCACTGATGATGCATTGTGATATCGCAATGCAGAACAGTGGCCATGTGCATCGTAAAGAGATGAGACAATGCACTGTGAAGAATGGGCACGCCAACTAATGCAGCTGCATCATTTGCACACAAAGTATTATTAGTAAATGATTTTAAAAATTCTGTTCAAAATGTTGTGAGAAGACTGAATCATAAAACTCAATCTTGTGAATCAGTTCGTGGCTCATTACACCCCCAGTCTCTTTAAATATCACTTAAGAAAACCACTTTTGACAGTTGTAAGCTGGCCTGATCATATTTGATGACTGATTTTCATCAAATACGGTACCGATCTGATAACAGGTACCTGTATGAGCCGGCATCAGCAGAAAATGCTGGTCTGGATATCAGAGGGAAAAAGGAATGACTCAGATCCAGACGTGTAACATTAACACGCTCACGTAGTGTGATGTCATGTTGTTAGCTGTTTATTTCTTCCTTTGTGGCTGTAGAGCGTTTGGGCATGATAGCCTACATTTACATGCTCATCTTAAGTGAACTGCTTACATTAAAAACAGTACATTTTAAAGGTGACACTCAAAGTTTCAAGAAGGTTTCTAGAATGGAGATTATGTGGAAAAGGTGCAGAGCTTTTTCCCTTTTGGATCAAGTATTAACAACAGAGGATCAAACTGGCACTCGGCAGAACAAGAATACAGGAACTTGAAAAGATCTTCAAATGCAATGAATTGTCTCCACAAACAACAATTAGAATTGTCCAGGCTCTTCTCCGTGGCCCGTTATGGATGTGAAAGTGGACAATAAAAAAGTGAGGCAGGAAAAACATTGATGCCTTTGAACTTTGGTGTTGTTACTTGGACGGCAAAGAAATCAAACAAATGCATCCTTCACCAGATCAGGCCTCAAAGCGTCTTATTTTGGACATATTCTGAGAAGAACTGCTGCATTGGAAAAGATCACTATGCTTGAAAGTGTTAAAGGCACAAGGGAAACAGGACGACCAGCAACAACATGGACGGATACAATCAGAGGAATCATGAACCAACTATTCAGAAGCCTGAAGACCCAAACAGAGGACAGGTTATTCTGAGGAAACACTGTCCATATGGCCACCAGAGGTTGGAAACAAGTTAATGGCATGTAATAATAATTACAATAATAATAATAAGAAGAACAGACTAACATGATAAAGCAATCATTTACATTTTTGATGATATGCATTTACATCAACATGATATCACTGATATTATCTACTGTTGGAATTTTTCGCTCCTTAAAATCAGTCTTGGTGTTTCGTGGCCCCAGAAAGAAAAACAAAAGCTCATAGGTTCCTTACCTTTACAGGAGCGGCCGTCGGCCTGCAGCGAGTACCTGCTGTGACACCTGCACACCGGCCCTTGCTCTGTGTCTTCACAGATGTGTTGGCACCCGCCGTTGCCATGGTTACAGGTCACTATGACACAAGCACATCAACACAGTTAGATCAACGCTTCTCAGCTCAACATCGTGTTAAGACTGTAGCTCCCACCCTGGTCCTGGAGGATCCCAGACCAGATGTGGGTGGATAAGCTTGTGGCTAGAGCGTAATGCTGCCTTCACGTGCAGAGGTTAGACCGGATATCCCATTGTTTTCAATGCAGACTGAGGCCATAAGCACAACTTTCCTTTAAGAGTTTTATTTTTCCAATGCTGCTGTCGACTGCAGAGGGGAAATAAACTGGATGTTGATTTTTTTCAGAGCCATCGATGCCAAATATTTAATTGTCGAATTCACCAAAAAAACAAAAGAGTACAGATCGTCCTCCTGCCCTCCCCACCTTAAATGAACAATGTACACTGCTAAATGTCCTCTGATAATTATCCATGTTCACTGTCACAATGGCAGTGTTTGCCTGGCGTCATGCCACTGTCAGTCACGCACCGCCATGATGCACAGAAGAGTTTTTCAATGCAAACATGTGAACGCAGCATAAAATTAGGACACTATAAAGAACAGCACATTTCCAAATATTGTACTTATATAATGTTGAGTAAAAAAACTGAAAATGGAAACAACATATTAACATTAGGCACATTTTTGGCCACTTATTATTTTTGCTGTAATGAAAAATGTATCAAATCGAGACGCCGCTATATCAGATCAAATCAAATTCTGTTTTTGCAGCCTAGTAGTTACTGTTCACTTCTAAGACACCTGATCCAACCAATCAGCAGATTCACAGGCCAGTCCAGAGTTGAAATATGTGTGTTAAAACAGGGAAAAGCACTAAAATGTACAGTTCAGAGATACTTTAGAACCAGAATCAGAAGCCACAGAGTTAGGAGAACCTTACTGATACGTACAGATGCAGCCACGCTGGTTCTTGGCCAGCTCGAATCCCGGACGACACTCACAGAGCACTCCACCTTTGGGCGTCTCTCTGCAAATGTGGGCACAGCCGTGCTCTTTGTTCATGCAGCTCAGGCCTTCTGCGAGGAAGAGGAACAGTTAGCCAGCTTGAAGTATTACCGGTGTTATAGTCTAGTATATAGTTATTGTTGTATTAATGCCCACCAACAAAAGTGCACCATCACTGTTGCAAGTCAAGCCTACAGAACTCTGGCAAACATCTGACTCAATATAATGATGAACTGTAGCTCATTCTCTGCACCTGCATTTATAGTACCGGGAACATTTCATGTTCCTGTCATTTTCAGCTCATTTTAGATGACCTACAACAACACTGTCCTGCTTAGTAGTGCAGCATTTTAAACTGGAAACACTGTGTATCCTTAGGCTTGTCGCCGTTATTACAAAAATGCCTGATAGCAATTTTTGAGCTAATTGTAATTATATAAGCTGACTGCAATTATTATCCAGAATTATTAACTTTTAGTTGTGTAAAAAAGTAGCACAGATTTGCACACAGTGTATGTCTTTAAACGGAACATAGAAAAAGTTGCAGCATTTTACTACAGCAATGCACTTGTAAAATAACTACATCCATTTTGTACTGGATTGCTTTGCGCACAAATGATTAGTATTATTGTTCTTTTCTATTTTTATTTATATTACGGGTATCACAGATGATATAGACAACTGTTTTAGATACTAGTTAACTGCAAATCAAACAGTTTTTCAGGTTGTTAAACTATTACACTCAAATTTGCACACACACTTTTACAGATACGCGCTCGACTGTACGGATATGCCAACGATGAACTTGATGAAAAAAAAAGACGTCTGTGAAATAAGGGCCAAAATAAGGGCCAATTTGAACGAGGTGTGTTTCCATCATTCAGTGCATTTACTGAGGGGGCAGCGGTGAGTAATGTTTGTTTAATTGCGCTAAGCCTGTAGTCTGTTGTCATTTGGAAGCTATTTACTGACAGCTAATCAGCCAATTTTGACACTTTTATGTCACTTTAATAACAAAACAATTACACTGTTGGTCACTTATTTAGGTAATCATTTATATGGCAAGTAATCACCAGCTAAAAAACAAACAAACTGAGTTTGTCACTAGATTGAAAGAGATTTTTTGCAGAAAGTTCTGTCCAAAGCTTTTTTCAACTTTGCAACAACGGCATTCGTGGGGAGCGCATGGATCAGTTTCACAGAATCTGCATTATACTGCAAACAAAGTGTTACTGAGCAGCTCCAGACGAAAAGAGGAAACAAGAACTTAAAGTGAGTAAAACATTCAGGTAACAGCCAAGTCAGAGCACAGTCCAGTTCCAAAGAACACTATTACCCTCAGAAAAAGGTCAGTCATTTCCTACCAACACATTTACACTTTCACGCAGTGTTCAAGTGCAAGTGTAACTTAAGTGCTAGCCAGATTAACACCATCGCTAACTAATCACTAAGAGCACACGCACTTCTACCCTGATCCATCTGTCCCTATACACACCTGTGTAAAACTCTTTTCAAATCCAATGCCATTTAATTCCGTGCACTCTGACCTGTCGTCAATAGCACTCCTCCGTGCGAGTGTAACGGGTCAGCTTCCTCTATTCACACTAACCTCCAGTGGACGTGTTAATAGGATTTAGCAGGTTTGCCCAGAGAAACCCAATGGGGTGGAAAGCCTTGCAAACTTCAGTGCATTTTACAGAGGGGTGGGAGGGGTGTGAGTGGGAGGAAGGGGAGGAGGGCAACAATGCTCATGGCTGAGAAGCTACAGACACATAAAAAAGGTGCTTTATTCTCATCTAAGAGCCCGGCCCCAGAGGGCTGAGTGTTGCAGTTATTAACTCGTTTTGTTTCGCAGAACGTGGGACTCCCTTTCCCACAGCATGGGCCTTTTGGAGCCGGGCTGCTGTGGATAATGACCCAGAGAGGGAGCCCTACTTAAAAGCTGTCATCCCCCCATTCTGCTGTCAATCACTGGACCTTATGCGCGGACATTTACGAATTAGCCTGGATTCTCCTTCGACCTTACCCCTGACACGGCCCAGCGACACCTCTGATATACAAAAACACACTTCCTTTCCCAGTGTATTCAGTATCTCTGCTCACTGTAGCCTAAAAGCATCCGGATAATGACTTTTAATGAAGCTGTCCTGTTTCTTACATCGTCACCATCACATCAAAACCTCATATGCAGTTTACACTGTGTGAACATTTAGGGATGTGTGGACCAATGAAAATGATCCTTTTATTATATGAAATTAGCACTAGGCAATATATTAAAGTGTCATAGTAGGAGTCGACATTTCAGTTAGCATGAATAACATTTTCTTTTCTTAAAATATCACTAAAGGTAAAAATGACAAAAACTATTTATTTGAAAAGTCTTGGCAAATGAGAAATGGCTGTTTTATGGACAAAATATTAAATTAACTATATCACTAAAAATGACGCTAAAACTCAAAACAATATCATGGTGTGTCAATATCACGGTATACTGGTAAAGATAATATATCGCCCAGCCCTACATGAAACTAAACCCCATTTCATTAATGCTCCATAAAGTTTAAGGGGAATTCCACTCATTTTTCGCAAATGTTCTGCATAATTAAACGGCTAAGATGTAAGCAAAGTCATTCAGGCTGGTCTGATGTAAAATGCTTTGTTCTAGAGAAACTTATCGAGTTAGACCAAGTCACAGTGGTGGTGACAGGAACCAGATGTCTGAAGCCTCTTGAAGTTGCATCTCAGAAACATATTACGTAAAATTGTTATAACTTCACTGCCAGATACCTGAAACATTGCTTTGTGACAAGCTTTTGGCCTAAATAGATTTTTTTTTAAATCAATTCATGCCAGAGAGGCACATATAAGGCATTATGAGGCAAAATAGTCCACAAAGAAAAACTAACTGTAGCTTCACTGGTGGTTTTGGATAGTAAATAAAATGGCTACATTGCTTTGTTGACATCTGTATAGAAGTCATGTACACATCTCAGTGATAGTTATGCAGAGACTTTGAAAAATCTGTGGATTTCCCCTTTTATAGTGCCTTTTTTCTCATATAATGTTATAATTGTCCACATCCACGTTTAGAAAATTAGTTTTTAGTGCGTTTCTGTGAAAACCTCCATATGTGGAGGGATGAAAACTGTTCTTGCAACAATCCTCAAACTTTAATTCAAAAGACTCAAACCCATTCAAACAGTCAGTCTTGCTAGCCCACAGAGAAACCCATGCAAAATGGAAATGGCGCCGTTGAAGACGTGTGAAGCTACTCACCCACAGAGCGATGGATGCATGTGTGCTGATTGTCACTTAAGAAGAAGCCGTCCTTGCAGCGGCACTCATAGCTACCCATGGTGTTGACACATACATGCTGACAGCCACCATTGTTAAAGAGACACTCATCCACATCTGAAGGGAAACACAACAGCGCTGAACACTAAGTCCATAAAACCCTAAACTCTATATACTACAAGTATTTGGTCAACGCCAGTTGACCCCATAATGAAAAGAATAACAGTTCAACAAAGCAGCACAAAATTACCCCTCATGAAAAAGACCTTTAGTGTTAGCAGAGGAATTTCTAAAGGACTCCTAAGAGAATCCTGGTCAGTAGACAAGGAATAATACAGGAGGTGTAAATATTAAAAACATTATGAATGTATTTTACAGAATCCTAAAATATTACAACAGTTTCTGCCATCCTTAAGATACTACATCTCATAGTCATCTCTATTAGCCACGACTGGAACGCTTCTCTTTATCCTGTGTAATTCCACTGTAGTCTTGCAAGACACACTGATCAGTGTGGCTTTGCTGCATTCATCCATGTGAACAGTTACAGCTCATCACACTTCAACAACACCAGCTTTCTTTAAAAAGGGACTTCTTACCGAGACAGTTGTGTCCATCGTGTGCTAAATTGAATCCATCGTGGCACGTGCAGCGGTAATTGCCAGGTATGTTGTTGCACTCGTGTACACAGCCGCCGTTATACTCCGAATCACATTCGTCAATGTCTAGGAAACGGGACACAAGTCACGGTTGATGAATGCTCACCGTTTCTGGACACTGATGGTCATTTCAATAAGAAAGAGCTCTTTGAAGTTCAAAAGCGCACTAAAATCTGTATTTCAAATATCCCAAATATATACAATACTCAGTCAATTAAACTGCTGTTAAATGTAATAACTCTGCTGGTTTAAGGCTGAACCTGCAGGTTTGCTCAAACACCAGAGATTAAAGGGGAATTTCACCATTTCTGCATTACTGCATTATTAAACGGTTATGATGTAAACAAAGTCATTCAGAGTGGTTTGATGTGAAATGTTCTAGAGAAACAGTCAGAATTGTTCATAACAGTGGTGATAGGAACCAGACTTCTTTTAAAGATGAGTTTAAAGGCTCTATAAGCTACCTCACAGAAAGTTACTACATAAAATAGATAGATTTATTTGACAATTATATGAATCATGTAAAACTGCATTCACACCCAACTTACAAGCAAATGGTTATGAACATGTTGCCTGATCCCTGAGATACTGTACTGATTTTTTTAGATACATTTTTGACTTAAAACTTATTTTTATTTTTATTTTTTTTGTTTGAGTGGAGAGGCACATGCAGGGTGTTATGAGGCAAAATAGTCCCCACTAGTATTTATCACAATTTTACATTTATTTTACATTAATTACATTTTTTTAGTTTTAATTTCGGCATTACATTGTTACGACCTCCTGTGTCTAGGGGAACACTTAAGGTCGTACATAAAAAAAGACAAGCCAACACCATCCAACTGCCAGACCAAGACACCACCAGCTACAAATAATTGATCACTTACCAGCATTTATTTCTTTTAACTTGAACAAGTTAAAGGCACCATCTTATAGAAGTTGGTAAGTCTAGTTTTAAACTGATCAAATGCAAATGAGCTTACACAAAAGATAAACTTCAGGGGGTGAGATAAAGTCAAAACAAACTAGAAACAAAAGACAACTAAACTAATCTAACTCAAAACAAAATTACAATTATAAGACTACCTCCCTGTCCCAAACCAGGAGGAAGCTAACTAAAAACTCCTCTGGTCATTTTGGATACTAAATAAAATGGCTATATTTGTGGTACAGACACCACTGAAATGAAATCCAAGATAAGTTTCCCATCAAACCACCCTAAATGGCTTTGTTTCCATCTCAATGATTGAACTACGCAGAAATTTTGATAAATCGGTGGAATTCCCCTTTAAGTGTCGTTTCTTCTAAAAGACAAGTGCAAGTCCAGTCGCCTCGGCTGCGTCCAAAACCGCGCACTACCGCACCAAACAGTGTGGCAAAACGGTACAACATGAAATCTACATTATTCCTACATCAGTGCGGTGGGTATAGGATGGATAGTACAGTGCAATACGTGGATTTGGACGCAGCCGTCGATTCGCCACCATAGGTGAAAAGGAGAAGCCCACCTTCACAGTGTTTCCCGTCTCCTTTAAAGCCCGATCTACATGTGCACTTGTAGGACGTCGGGGTGTTTTGACAAATCGCGTCGATGTGACACGCATCGCTGCCCTCCGCGCACTGATCCGCATCTGCACCCAAACCAACAGCAAAATTGTTTATCGATCAGCAATAAAAACACTGGAGCAGATGTGTTTCCTAGCCTGCACGAAGGTTAGCGGCTTAAATAAAGCAACACGTGACGTTGTACCAAACATAACAGTTAAGTCTAAGGACAGTTAAGTTAAGTCTGAGGACAGTTAAGCTAAGTCTAAGGGTAATAATAACGGGGCCGCTCAGTCTCTCACTGCTGTGAAGTGCGGGGTGCGGATGGCTGAAGACTCTTACCGGCGAGGTGAGGAAGCGCGCCGCTTTGGCGAGAGTTTAAGAGCAGCAAAAGCAAACAGAGGCGCCTCACCATCCAAACAGCCCCCATAGCGCCGGGTTACCCGCTCAGACCGTCCTGGAGAAGAAGCGTTTTAGGAAGAAGCGTCTCTGAGGAGCCGCAGGAGCGTCCGCCGCATCTTCACTGCGCTTAAAATCGACTTGCGCTCACGAGACCCGCGCGAGAGTGAAACAGCAGCTCCTCTCTCTCTCTCTTTCTTTCTCTCTCTCTCTCTCTCTCTCTCTCTCTCTCTCTCTCTCTCTGTATGTGTGAGCGGGGTGAGAGAGTCAGAGACACTGAGGGAGAGAGAGAGAGAGGGAGAGAATTGTGGGGGTGGGGGGCTAAACTGAGCCTGATGTTGAGGTAATCGGCTATTTCTACCCAACATCTGGACTTCGGCCACTTTAAACCTGTTGACCAGTTCAGCGTCTCCTTTTGGTGAAAAATACCTGTTTTCCGGTTTTTGTCCTGTCCGTTTGTCGCGGCTGTCTGTCTGTTCAGCTGGACTCGTTTCAAAGCGACAGTCATTCTGCGGTTTCATGTCGTTCCCGCAGCTCCGTTGTTCTGTTTATTTACAAATAAAACGCGTAAAGATTTCCAGAACGCAAAAACACACAGATTTCCACGCGCGGAGATTTACTGTGGATCTTGACTCTCACGCAGAGTTTGGGAAACGGAAAGGCAGGATGGTGTACAGCGCGCCCTCTACTGGCAATGGCTGGAAATGACTAGCTCAATTGAACTGATTCACAAAATGTAACGCTGAATTTTAATGAAGCCCGTTTCCTACTGTAAAATAAACTCGGGCAAACAGAGACTTTATGAATAGAGACCTTTGTCTCTCGCTTGGAGAAGGACATAAATGCAGGATCTCATTAATGCACATTGCATGAAGACACAAATTGGCCGCAATGTATGTGAAATAAAAGGTCCAAAGCAACAGTAAATACGACCCTGCAGCTTTGGATAAGACCACCTCGGCAACTGCTAATAGGCTAATCAAGTAATATTCAGACAAAGGCTTTAAATGTAAACAGTGTAAAACTACAACATAGTAAAAATGCTATACAGTGGGGCAAAAAAGTATTTAGTCAGCCACTGATTGTGCAAGTTCTCCTACTTAGAAAGATGAGAGAGGTCTGTAATTTTCATCATAGGTACACTTCAACTATGAGAGACAAAATGAGAAAAATGAGAAAAAAAAATCCAGGAAATCACTTTGTAGGATTTTTAAAGAATTTATTTGTAAATTATGGTGGAAAATAAGTATTTGGTCACCCACAAACAAGCAAGATTTCTGGCTCTCACAGACCTGTAACTTCTTCTTTAAGAAGCTCTTCTGTCCTCCACTCGTTACCTGTATTAATGGCATCTATTTGACCTCGTTATCTGTATAAAAGACAGCTGTCCACAGCCTCAAACAGTCAGACTCCAAACTCAACCATGGCCAAGACCAAAGACCTGTCGAAGGACACCAGGAAGAAAATTGTAGACCTGCACCAGGCTGGGAAGAGTGAATCTACAATAGGCAAGCAGGTTGGTGTGAATAAATCAACTGTGGGAGCAACTGTAAGAAAATGGAAGACATACAAGACCATTGATAATCTCCCTCGATCTGGGGCCCCACGTGAGATCTCATCCCGTGGGGTCAAAATGATCATGAGAACGGTGAGCAAAAATCCCAGAACTACACGGAGGGACCTGATGAATGATCTGCAGAGAGCTGGGACCAAAGTACCAAAGGCTACCATCAGTAACACACCACGGCGAGAGGGACTCCAATCCTGCAGTGCCAGGCGTGTCCCCCTGCTTAAGCCAGTACATGTCCAGGCCCGTCTGAAGTTTGCCAGAGAGCATATGGATGATCCAGAAGAGGATTGGGAGAATATCATGTGGTCAGATGAAACCAAAATAGAACTTTTTGGTAAAAACTCAACTCGTCGTGTTTGGAGGAAGAAGAATGCTGAGTTGCATCCCAAGAACACCATACCTACTGTGAAGCATGGGGGTGGAAACATCACGCTTTGGGGCTGTTTTTCTGCAAAGGGGACGGGACGACTGATCCGTGTTAAGGAAAGAATGAACGGGGCCATGTATCGTGAGATTTTAAGCCAAAACCTCTTTCCATCAGTGAGAGCACTGAAGATGGAACGTGGCTGGGTCTTCCAGCATGACAATGATCCCAAACACACTGCTTGGGCAACGAAGGAGTGGCTCCGTAAAAAGCATTTCAAGGTCCTGGAGTGGCGTAGCCAGTCTCCTGACCTCAACCCCATAGAAAATTTGTGGAGGGAGTTGAAAGTCCGTGTTGCCCAGCGACAGCCCCAAAACATCACTGCTCTAGAGGAGATCTGCATGGAGGAATGGGCCAAAATAGCAGCTACAGTGAAGCAAACCTGGCGAAGACTTACAGGAAACGTTTGACCTCTGTCATTGCCAACAAAGGTTATGTTACAAAGTATTGAGTTGAACTTTTGTTATTGACCAAAGACTTATTTTCCACCATAATTTACAAATAAATTCTTTTAAAATCCTACAAAGTGATTTCCTGGATTTTTTTTCTCATTTTGTCTCTCATAGTTGAAGTGTACCTATGATGAAAATTACAGACCTCTCTCATCTTTCTAAGTAGGAGAACTTGCACAATCAGTGGCTGACTAAATACTTTTTTGCCCCACTGTATATTATCTGAATGTAAACCTGCTAAAAACCTGCTAAAACTAGTATTAAAACCAAAGTGGGTAAATGAAGGAATAGCAGGATCAGTTTGGTGCTAAAGTTAAACCTCATTAAAGTGCTAATGAAAGATAACAATAGCTTAGTGGTTACTTGAATAAGCAGGCTACTCATAAAATAGAAGGTTCTGTCAAACGCTGCATGTGTTTATGATAATATGACAAAATCATTTTTAAAGGTATATTATAACTGTAATATCCCATGCTTTCCTTTTATTTATGGAATCCTGTTTTAGTGTGCAGTGCCCCATAGTGGTGACACAACCAAAGGTCGAATAAAAATGTTTCCTATTTTTTGGTTTATTATTGTATTTTTAGATTTTAGTTTAAACCCATTAGATGGTGAAACAGACGGTCACTCTGTAGTCCACTTTGCGCCCACATTAGGAACTACAGGGCTGCATCCAAAACCACAAACTAACACATGAAACACTAAAGCTCTAATGGTGATGTACTATTTCTGATGTACTGTTCAGTGTGGTAGTCTGTGGTTTTGGAAAAATGACTGGTGTTTTTGAAAATTGCTGCCGTGGTGCCCTGTGGTCAACAACAACGTTACAAAAGATACGTTTTATCCTGTATACATTTTTCCTCTGAGTGACGCTGGATACTCTGAATTACGAGGTGTTTTAGCAGTCAAAATACAGATAATGCTTCATGTATGCCGCTAGAAAGGGAACACAATGAAATGATGCTGTATGATATTATTATATAACATCACCAGCTACTTAAACTGTAGGTTACTATGGTCAAAGCAGCCTAACTACCTCTTTGAGGAAGCTTGCTGGTGTGCGTGAGGTATTCTGGTGAGGTTGCCAGTCGTGTGTCAGTTGCTATCCTATGTCAGCAGTGTTAGCTTGGAAGTATCATTCATAATTTGACTCCTTATTAAAGACCTTGTAATTCAGAGGATCCAGTGATTCAGAGGAAAAATGTATGTGAGGAAAAACGGTTTTGGAACATTTTTGTTTACCACAGGACACGATAGTAGCAGGTATAGCAGCAAAACAACATTCATTTTTCCCATAGAGAAAACCAGGAGTTCATAATATGGGCATGGCAACGACTTCATAATGGAGACATACAGGGGCGTCACTAGGGGTTTATGGACAGGAAGGCTAAGCTTGTCCTGGGGAGAATTTTTGGCCCAAAATATCTTTTCATTATGAATGTTTAGAGAAGCAACAGCCAGAAAATGTATCAATGTATCATTTGGTTAAATTGGCACATGAAGCACAGAGTTAGTGTGACTGAAACACTGTATCTGTCCACAGAACAGACACAGATCAAGCAAAGGTACTGGACTCAAACAATGCTGTCTCCTCTCTCTTAGAGACAGTTTACGGCGCTGAATCGAAGTGTTTCCTATCATTCCAGTTGGAGATGTTTATGGAGTCCTGCGTTAGCAGTGATAGGCAGGTGAGGGCCGTGATGTGAATTTAAGGATTAGAAGTGTATGAACAGGTACGGTTTAAGCACAAAGGCACAGCACAACAATGAATAAACCCAGTGACTACAAATGATGACCAACGTGGCACAATTTCTTTTTTCTCATTAGCTCTACTTTTTTGTGCTTTGCTCGACCAGTCTCCTACTCAAGGTGCGAAATATGGTAGGTCCAGGGGGGTCCAGGACCCCTAATTAACTTGGATGCCCTGAATGTCTCAAAATCTAAATTCCGGGCGGTTCCTGAAAATAAACTTATTATGATGTTATGCTGTTTATTAGGGAAACATAAGCGCTCAGATACAAATTATGGGTGAATCGATATGAATCGATATGAATCGATACTCCGCCAACTCACCGCCCCTCATTTAATACGAGGAGGTGCTGCTTCCCTTCGCAAAGCCTGGCAATATTGCGATCTTTCCTATTAATGCCACTCAGTAGGAGCCACTTTTATTACCGCCGCTGCTCCGTCACATTTAAATTTACATTTACATTGCAAATAAATTGCCAAAAAACATTCCAAACACAAAAATGCATTTCAGAATATTTTGCCATGTTAATAATATTAGTAAATATATTTTAAAACGCACTTAAAATATATGATGTTACAATTTATGGAGAAATATTACACATAGAAAGGTATTATAGAAAAGTAAGTGTATGTAAATGTATTTATGAAATACATTTGAAACTGTATGAAAATTGCCAAAGTATGTTGTCCAGTGCACTTTACTGTTTGGAAACCCTTTGAAGTGAATTTGTATGTCTTGAAATAAATTTACTCCGGTATCTTTATTGTAAATGTTTGTCTTTTAACAGGACAAAAGCAAGTGTTGCAGATATTGATACTCTGTGAAAATGTAGTTTGACGATTTGATATCTTGTTTATTTGGCATATATTTTGTGTGACTTTCTTACGTAAAGTACAACGCAACACACAGAAGTCAGTACCGTTCATTCAGTTCATGTATATTTAGCTACATCTTTAACCTTTAT